TAGGACGAACCTGAATTGGTGTTTCTAATTGTAAGTTATTTGTCCAATTTTTTGTAACAAACTCCCTATCCTCATTTTCTTCAATCTCTACTTGTGTAGTAGAGTTATCAACCTTTCTAATTGCCTTCTTACTTGAAAAAGGTTCTTGTGTAGAAGGAAGACGGCGTCGGCTATATTGTAAGGTGATTTGGTCCACCTCATTATGCATTGTAGACACATCTTCTTCTTGACAAGATGTCGTATGACATGGCATTGTTGAGACCATTTTCACTTCACCAAGGTCTTCATCAAGTATTTCTTTTGGAATATATTCCTTTAGAGTAACAAGGAACCTTTGGAGTTGTTCATATTCATCCATAAAAATTATCTAAGGCTTCTTTTTGGACCTTCTTTTCTTATTCTTCTTGGGGACTTTACGTCTCTTGAAAGTAATACCTGGAGAGGCAAACTTTTCTATTCTTAAGGGTTTAACTACCCCTTTTGGCTTTTTGTTAACAATTGTCTGCCAACTTTCTTCATTCTCTGAAGCAGAGGAGTCATTAAAACATAACATGTTTGGCTACACCGTTAATTCATATAAAGAAGGGATAGTTGGAGTATTTTCTTCTATAAGAGATATACTATTAGTAGTTGCAGTAGTTCTCTTTTGTAGGAGGTTCGGCTAATTCAATTTCCCCTTTGTCTATCATTGATTGGATAATGTCCTTAAGGACAAAACAATCTTTTATGGGATGACTAACTATCCTATGATAATGACAATACTTTGGGTCCTTTGTCTTGTTGACATCACCTGGTTGCTTTGGATCTAGCAATTTAATAGCATTTGCTGCCATAAGGTCATAAAAAATCCTTTGTACATCTTCATTTTCAAAGAAATATTTCTTTTCCCTTCTTTCTTGCAAAGTCATGGGCTTAGGAACATCCTTTCCTTTAGTCTTATCCTTCTTTTTAACATTAACAAAGGTGGCCATGGCCTCTCCTTTGCCTATAAGCTTTTTGCCATCCTTTTTAGTTTTTGAAAGAGGATTAGGCTTGCTTGTCACAATCTTTTGCCTAGCAATTTGGCTTTCCACATTGCTGGCTTTAGAGACCAATGCATMAAATGATTGTGGTTCTGCTGTACCTACAAAGGTAGCAATCTCTGGCAAGAGATTGTTAGCACACATTTGTACTGCTGAAGTTTCCTTTAATTGCTCAACACACTGAAGATTCATGTTTCTTCAGCGTGTAATGAATTCATTTGCACTTTCATTTGGCCTCTGTTTCATTTCAGCCAAGTCTATAATTGATAATTTCCTCTTGGAACTCACAAATTGTGCTAAGAAGGCACGTTGCATATCATCCCATGTGAATTGATCCTGGTGCTAATTGTGTATACCAAGTAAAAGTTGCTAGTTTTAAAGACTGCACAAATTGCCTTATTAATAAAGCATTAGACATTGTTGATTCACCACATGCAGAATAGAAATGGGCCAAATGTTCATGGGGAGACCCATTTATTCCATCAAATTTCTCAAAGTTGGGCTTTTGATATCTTGAAGGAAATGGGAGTGTATCATAGTGGGTAGGATAATGTTTCCTATATCTGAGGACTGGTGGAGTCAATGATGCCTAAAACTCCTTAATTCCTTCTGCAATCAATGCCTTTAAATCCAATTGAGAAGTGGGGGTAGAAACCGGAATAGACTGCTGTGAAGTTTCCCTAGTGGAACTGCTAGCTTGAGATGCCAATTGTGCAGCTAGGGATGCAATTTCAGCATCCTTTTCAGCCAGTCTTCGTTGCATATCTTAGATTTGTTCTTTTAGGCTTGAAGTGCCTGTTACAAGAATTGACATAGAAATTGGTTCTTGGTCATCTGTAATGATTACACTTTCCTGAAACTAAGAAGATACTTATTCCATAGACTTCATGTCTTGAATTAATGATTCAGGATCTTCATACATCGGGTTGATTATTTGAACTATAGACATCTCATCAGTGGATTCTAACAAACTACTTGAACTTACACTTGAGGTATCCTCCCAACTTAGTAATAATCAAGATTTCGCTCTTGTGATGGGTCCTCTATAGTGTCTAAGTTCTTTGGTGGGCATGGTGTATGCCMTCGGCTTGAAAAAGATCTCTGCTTGCTTTGCATACATATRTCCTGATTTTGATTTTTGTGATTGTTTTGTTGCAAAACCAAAAAGTGACATAGAGGCTTCAGCTTGAGATTTCTTAGTCTCCGAAGATCTTTTAGACCTACGAATGATACTGGAAGATTCTCTTGATGCTTCATTTGTAAGGGGAGAACTTTGATTGAAAACAACKTTCTTTCTACAAAGGGTAGAGTCATTTTCACTTGAGGACCCGAGTTCAATAACTCGAGGTTTCAATTGGAAGTAGGAGCATTTTCATTCTTTTCCTTTGAAACCACGATAGAGGTTTTGGAAGTAGAGTTTTCTTCAAAGATGGTCACCATCATGACTGGTGCTTCTAGAGGAATTGGCAAATTCACGGGAATGGCTCCGATCATTATTTGAGTTGGGGCAATCACTCTAGCCCTTGGTTTGGTAGCCTTTACTGGAGAGACCACCTTTGATTTTGTAATTTTCAAGGTTGATGAGGCAACCTTCTTGGTTATCTTTGCCTTTGGAGGCTTAAAACCTGTCTTTTTGGCAAAGTTGAGCATAGCCTGTAGTAGGCTATTTCTTGTATAAGAGGTCTTAGTGACCTTTCTCTTTTTTTCCTTCTTAATCTTCTTATCGGTCTTAGGAATCAAGGCCATGGTGGTAGCAGCAAGGGGATTCACATCCACAGTGAATGTTGCTTTGTAGGAAGGCTTCTTTGAGCCCCCCCACCCAGCCCCCATTTTCTCCTTTTCTGTAGCTATCAGTTCAAGGTAGTGAACAATTACTTTTGGTGCCGTGAGTTCTTCCTGTATAGGCACAATACAAATATAAGGATAYTGTATGAACTATCACCATTTTTTTCAGTTTTATCTTATTTTCATTTCAACTTCTTTCATCAAAGATGAAAAGGAAAATGGGTCCCACCGGGCGTGCCAAAATTATGTTAGTGGAAAAATTTTTTTTAGTATAATTTCTCACATAACATAATTCACCCAATTAGACTAATAACTGGGTTTTTTTTGTTATTTGGGTAATCCCCATTCGGGAAATCACGTAAATATTCCCTTAATCACATCTCTGCTAGGGGCAGAGAAAACCTTTCTATTCTGATTCAAAAGTACCAATGAATAGAGACTAAACTAAGTATGAATTTTCTACAAAATTTTCCTTTGAAAATTCTGGTATATATTCCCTCTTTATTTGAGAGAAAACCAGCATATAAAAAAACAAACATTGTATGCATAACAAGTAAATAGGTATCATAAAAAGCATGTTTCATCAATAAGGCTACAAATGGCCTTTAAATTATGGTTGTGTGCATTATCATGCTATGAGAAACCATAATCAACCAAGTTTCATGAGCAAGGCTATATATGGTTTTTCCCCTCACACATAGGTTAGTAGGTTGTAAGGAACCATAATCAACCAAGTTTCGTAAACAAGGCTGTAGATGATTGTCTCCTTACATGTATTTCAATATGAAACAAGGAAGAAAAAAAATAAAATGAAGAAATAAAGGAGTGAGAGGAATTGATAGAATATAGGCTTCTATCTCATGTGACAAGGAGTATCATATTGAAGAGGTGTAGGAAGAACACAAGATTCCCTACCTTCTTCTTCCTTTTTATTTTATGCTCTCTACACCAATCTTCTTCTCTTTTATCTTCCCACTTGTTTCTTAATGCTAGAAATCCTACAAATCAATTAGTAATAACTAACAAAAAAGGCATTAGCCCTTTATCCTTGTAAGAGAAGCGTTTATATAGAGGAGGGAGGTGGTTAAGTAAATCCCAACTCCTCTTTTCTTAGGGTGCCAAGTGTCACCCCACTTAAAATGGGTTAAGGAGGGAAAAGAAAGTTTTTCCTTCCTAAGGTGACAAGTGTCCTCCCGCTTCAAGTGGTTAGAGGAGGGAAAATAACTCCTTCCTAGGGTGACATGTGTCCCCCCCACTTCAAGTGGTTAGAGGAGGAAAAACAAATCCTTCTTCTTGGGGTGACATGTGTCCCCCCACTTAAAGTGGTTAAAGGAAGGAAAATAACTCTCTCCCCTAAGGTGAGATGTGTCCCCCCACTTTAAATGGTTAGAGGGAAAATAGTCCTCTTGTTAGAATAGGACAAGTGGCATTCCCTCATARATAAGTGGGACACCTCACAAGAAATTAATTAAAATGGATTTATCCTACTGTTCCACTAAATGGGCTCTAATGCAGGCCCATAAATGCTTATTGCATTATAAATAAGCCCAAATAACTTAGGGCCTGTTGTTGATTAAACTAGACTGCAGGCCCCTTTATTTATTAAAATGTTTCAACCCACCAATAGGATTGACTGGACTTATAAGAAAGCCCTTTTCTCTTCTTTATTATTATTTTTTTAAGCTGTGACTGGGAGTATCTTAATAACCTACTCCCGGTCTAGCAAATTTAAGGACTTAACAAGTTGAAATCAGGATTAAGTAAATTTCTCTCTCCTTATTCCATGATGGTGAAATCCTAATGTGTCTTGAAACAGTTGATGCAAGTAATTTTGCTTTTCTGGTACAGTTTTTTTGCTTTTTCCTTTTCTTTCCTTTTTATTCCCCTTTTGGTTGGTGAGGAACTGTGGTTTCAGCATTATAACTACTACTACACAATGTAATGTTTTCTCAGGATGATCCCAACTGTTGATTCGGAAGACTTCATTTGGATGATAAGGAACAATGTGCAGGTACATGAACTAGAAGAGAACATAAAATCACTGGATTATTGGACTGCAGGGAAGGAATGGCTATGACCAACCCAACCGGGTAAGCAATCTGTATTGTGATAATTGTGGTTGATGATTGATCATGTGGTGGTTTTAATTGACCTTGTTAAAAGTTAGAATCGGAATTAATGAAGATGGCTATGGAATGGTGACAGTGGCAGTGCTGAAGGTGATGGGTACAACCCAAATACAACCCATTTCCAAGGATACATACAGAGAAAAAAGTCAAAAACTGAACAGTTACATTCAAACAAACAAATTTATATTTTTTATTACATGCTCCTGAGATTATAATATTCACCGATCGATCCCTTCAATCTTGTCTTCAACTTCTGAATACAATTGCCTCAACCTCTCAATGTTTTGCTCGGATGTCTCCCAATACCCACGTCCATTTGCCTCTAGGAAAGTCTGCACCAGCTTCCTGAATGAGTTTGGGTTGGTGTTCATTAGCCTGTTAAGCATCTCTTCATCTTGGATGAATGTTGAATTTGCTTCGTCATACACCCAGTTGTCAACTTGGCCTGAGGTGGCACTCCAACCAACTGTAGTAGTAAGTCGCTTCTCAATCTCACGTACTCCCTCATACCCACTGGCCATCATACCTTCATACCATTTCGGATTGAGTAATTTGGTGCGTGCATCAAGCCTTACAGTGTCTGCCAAAGTTCGGACTTGGGCATTGGCCGTTGTTGTGTCAGCAATGTATGCACTTGGCTTCTTACCATCCTTTCTGAGGCTTTGGACAAGATTGGTGGGGTCTGAATCAAAGTAGTGGCTCACATCAGTGAGTGATATTTCAGATGAGTCAAGGTTTTGGAATGTGGCATCAGCAGTGCTAAGTGCCATCTCAAAGACCTTGCGCTTCTCAGTCATCCCTGCACCAGGGGCATCACAGTCAAAAGCAAATGACTTGCGGCTCAAATACATGTCCTGAAGCTGTTTTTCATCATTCCATGATGAGTTTTCAACAGCCAGATTAATGTTTGAGGAATAGGACCCTGAGGCATTGGAGAAGACACGAGTTGCAGCCTCACGTAGACCAATTCCAAGGGCCTCTGCCTGCTGTGTGGCATGCTTCTTGACATAGTTTTGGTCATCTGGTTCATCTAGTTCTGCAACCATCTTCACTGCACTGTCTAGGAGGTTCATCTATGGGAAAAAAAAAATAAAATTATAAACAAGAGTCAACAAAAACAAACAAACTGAAATTATGTTTAAGATAACCTCAACTGAAGTGGTTTTATGAGATCTCCTCAATTGACTGTGCTAATGGTTTTCAAATAATGAGATAGCAATTTGATGAGTGCTGGAAGCAGGATCTATTGTCTTTTCTTCTTTGTTTTTTGACTCCCTTACCCCAACTTAGGTCAGGTATTGGCTCCCCGCATTATGGTCAATCAAATTTTGATCAGATAGGACATATTATTGCTAACGAAAACCAATTACTAGTCATGTATTTATCAAAGTAAGTGTAGTCAGAAAGAGAGAGAAGAACATATAAGTTAGACTTTGTGCTCTGAATATTAGCTACCAATGGTGTATGGTATGACCATCATGGAAGAGGAGATGGGACAAAGGCTATATGGCATGTCTCTCATGCTAAAAAGTAGAACAGATTGGATGATTTCACATTTATATTCTTCCAGACTTTCTAAAAGAACCCTATATATGTAATGCTTTTCAACATCCACTTGGTCAGTGCTTGTCTAAAGAGACCTCAAACCCCATATATGGTACTTCAGCATCAAAACTCTATTACCAGAGTACCATTGTATTCAAGTAATACCAAATGAATGGGAGAAATGTAAAACTAATACATAATAAATATTGATAAATATACCTGATTGATGAAGAGATCCCTGAACACCCCTGAGCAATTGACAACCACATCAATCCTAGGCCGTCCAAGCTCTTCAAGACTGACTGGCTCCACCCTATTTACACGGCCCAAGGTATCGGAAACTGGTCTTACCCCAATCATCCAGAATACTTGAGCTAATGACTCCCCATAGGTCTTGATATTATCAGTACCCCATAGAACCAGTGCAACGGTCTCAGGATACTGTCCTCCATTATCAGACTTCTGCCTCTCAAGCAACCTATCCACTACCACCTTTGCACTCTGCATTGCTGCTACCGTTGGTATAGATTGTGGATCAAGTGCATGAATGTTCTTACCTGTTGGCAAAACCTTTGGGTTCCTGATTGGATCTCCACCTGGTCCTGGTTCTACATAACTACCTTCCAGAGCTTGCTTTAAACTCCCTAGTTCATTATCAGCCACAAATAACTTCAAGCACTCCCCTAGGAACTCAAACAAGGTCCTAAGCTTCTCTCTGTCAGCCCTGTAGAACTTTGTATTTGACAAGTATTGCGCCCAAGGCTCATTCAAACCAAACCCAAGGATTGAGCTCAATTTGTTAGCCACATCAACTACTTGGCCCTTTTTATTTGTGGTCCTTTCCACAAAGGCTGATATTGCTCCACGTGATGTTTCTGTTATCTGATGCAATAGCTCCACATCCTTTAGTATACCCTTGTCACTTCCTCTATATACACCTTCTATATCCCTTCCTACTGTCTCAGCTAATACTGCTGGGAGTGAGGATATCCCATCTTCTGGGCGATCTAGAGCAGCAATATTGACTAGTGTGGCAACTGCTTCCATGGCTGATGGTGGCTCACCAATGACATGAAGACCACATGGCAGTAAGCGGGATTCAATCTCCATGATCTTGGAGTAAACCTTCCCAATCACAAGGTCTCGCTCTTTGGCTGAGAGTTCCTCCCCTTCTTCAGGAAGCTTTACATCCTTGTCGAGGTTGCATTGCTTTGCAGTACTGATGATGGAACTCACAATCTGTGGCCCACGACCAGTATCTTTAAGTGACTGGTAGGAAGATATCAGCTCACTGAGTTGCTTGAGGCCCTTGTAGAGCCCAGCATTCTCTGCAGGAGGTGTCAAGTAGCTAATGGTATTGGCATAACTGCGACGCTTGGCAATTGTTGCTTCAGATGGGTTGTTAGCAGCATAGTAGTATACATTGGGAATGTTCCCAATGAGACTGTCAGGGTAACATACATCACTCATCCCAACTTGTTTTCCAGGCATGAACTCAAGTGAACCATGAGTGCCAAAGTGGAGGACAGCATCAGCCTTGAAGATTTTCTCAACAAAGGAGTAATATGCAGCAAACCCATGGTGTGGGCTGGCTGATTTGGAGAACAGGAGCCGCATTGGATCACCTTCATATCCAAATGTAGGCTGCACTCCAATGAAAACATTTCCATACTGTTTTCCGTATACCAAAAGATTCTCACCATCAGAATTTAAATTGCCTGGTGGCTTGCCCCAGCTCTCTTCCAGTGCAGTGACATAGGGAGTGAGACTTTGGTATTCCCGAACACCCATCTTGTATGCAATATTGAGGTTTGGGCTGCTGAACTTTGCCTCCTTGTCATGAATGATATCTTCAATCAGGGCTTCAGCTGTCTCAGGCAGACCTTCAACATTATATCCATCCCTTTGGAGTTCTTTTAGGACAGAATAAATGGASGCAAAGACATTCAGATAGGCAGCTGTTCCAACATTGCCTTTGTCAGGTGGGAAGCTAAAGACAGTGATTGCAAGTCTCTTCTCCACCTACAGTCATACACCAGCATAGTCTTAGACATGCATATCTTGTATTGACTTTATAACATAATTCTTTATACTACTTAATCATAGGAAAAACTTCTTGAGGATCAGCTATTAAGGACCAAAAAAAACCTTGAAGGGTAGTTTTATATCCTAAGCGCTAGAAATCAAAGTATTCCAAACCAGATAAGAACACATTGTGCTTGAAATGTAAATCAAAGTCACATCAACAGAATACATTATCACTTATTACATCCTGAAACCAGATGTTGCAATAAAGTATAACTGTCCTATAATAGTATTTTGATACAATTATGAACAACTCCATATTCAAGCAATTGCTTTGAAAAAGCATACTTTTTGATGATTTACAAAAGGCAGTATTGTTCATTGCTGCTGATAAACATAGCTTACTTCTCAAGTTTTTACTCTACTTTCCATTAGTATCAATAAGCTGTATATTTTCAATAAGGTATCCTCTTTGAAATGAATATAAAGCAATGAAATATCTAGCAACCATGAGGAATGAACTGATTCCATTTTAGTTTTTCATGGCAACAATTAAGCAAACCAAAATATAGTCGTAACCATATCCTCAAGGAGAAAAGTGGATACAAGTCCATTTCTTCAATCCCAAAATGACCTCATGTTGAAATTTTACCATCCCTAAAATGAACCCATTTCTGATAATAAGGTTGTAACTTTAATAGAATTATGTTATCAAGGTAGTTTGGGAGAGAAATAGCAGCAGTAGCATTCACACTTAACTTGTGATACCACCCTCCCTGTAGCTTTGACAGATTGTTGGTGAAGCTGTTTTTTTTTTTTGTGTAATTGGAATCTCTAATTTAGATTATAAAGATCCCTTTTGTGGCTTAATATCATCAACACATGAAAATTTAAAGAAGGTAACAACAAAGTGACTCTTGCTAGCAACCTTGAACAAATTACCTTTGATTTCCTTTTGAGTTCAGCCCAATTGATTGACCTGGTGCAGAGCTGCTCCACCCTCTTATGAAGAGCATGCGATTTCCCTGAAAAACATAGTGCATCAAAAGTGCCAATAAATTGTTAAAAGACTGAAAAAGCACAAAAGGAGTAAGATGGATCATATTGATGAGTAGATAAAAAATGAACAATAAGGGAGCAAAAGAAAAACAGGGAAAATAAGAATACAAAATCAGATCACTATGGGAGCACATCTAGAAGTAAAGAAAAAAAAAAAACAAACCACACCACTGTAAACAGTTCATAAATAGCATTGAAATATTGAAAGACGTAAATAACAATAATAGAAGAAAATGCTAAATAATGACAGAAAAATGAGAGAAAATACAGAGCAAAGAAACTTATGAAAAATAATTAAAAGACAAATCATATACCAGTTCTAGGATCACGACCAGAGAAAACAATGGGTTCCATCCCGCCATCCAGCTCAGGGAGAGCAACCTGCAAAGCCACCTGAATTGGATGCAACCCAAGAGTACTATTTAACCACTCTTCTGTTGTCTGAAAAACTAATGGCAGTGCGACAATATATGGCACATCAAGCTTCCTCAATGCCTCAACAGCTCTGGGATGATCCTGCCTTGCAGGTCCTCCAACGAGTGCAAATCCTGTAAGTGACACCACAGAGTGTACAAAAGGTTTTTTGGTGACTGGATCAATCAAGAACTTCTCCACTGGCCCTGAGAAATCAAGCCCACAAGCAAATATAGGTATCACCTTGGCTCCCCTTGCTTCTAACTCCATGATTACAGCCACGTAATGACTCTCATCACCAGTAACAATGTGGCTTCTCTGTAAAATCAACCCAACAACAGGAGCATTCGGATCCTTCAGCTTCTCATTAGCATCCTTTCTGGTCCCATACCAATTCAAGTACTCCTTCACATCATCATACATGCAAGGAGCCAGAGGGTGCCACATCCCACTGTCCAAGAACACAACCGGATCAGCATACTCAACCTTAGTCCCTTTCAGCGCCGGAACGTAAGATCCAGAAATCATTTTGATGAAATTTTGTAAATTATCCGGCGACCCTCCTAGCCAGAATTGCAAACTAAGTATATACAGCCGAGCATCTTGAGCCTTATCGCTGGGTAAGTACTTGAGAACCTTGGGCAAAGTCCTCACGAGCTTCAACATATTATCTGCAAAACCTGCGGACGATTTCTTCTTCTTAAAGAGCTGAAAGAAGGGACTCTTCGATTGCCCGAGCTGTGACATACTGAATGAGCCCAACTTGTTAAGTCTCATTACTTCGGGCATTGAAGGGAACACCAGAACTGCATCCAGTCTATCTCTCTCCTTCTCAACAGCGGCCTTAATCTTCCTCGCAAGCTCCTCGACGAATATAAGAGAACCAATGAAGATGTTAGCATCCTCAATATCTTTACAGAATGTCTGGTAAGTGGATTTGTCTCGAAGCTCTTCGACCAAGTAGCCAACAACTTCAAACGAAGCGTACTTGCCGCTGCTGTTAAGGGACCTCACAGCAGCCGAAAGGGAAGACTGATATTGAGCTTCGAGTACTACATAGACGATTTTAACTCTGGGCAGGTCAGGATTTTGGTCGGGGAGGATTCGACGGACCTCGGGTGTGGTCTGGGTGAACAAACCATTGCCAATTGCAGCACATTTTACTCTCATACCAGCTCTACTGCTGCTACAACCTTGATTGAGCTTCTTGGGTAGGAAGGAATGAAGAAAAAAATGCTTTTGAGAAAGAGAGGAGAGGTGTTCTACCTTGGAGGCGGGTGATGTGAATGGTGAAGACACCAGGGACGCCATTGTTGAGGCTGGTGCCACAGATACACTGCTCTGTCTCTTGAACAAACACAGGGACAGAGAGCTTGGGCTCCAGAACAGAGATCGTAAAAGAAAAAGAAACAGAAAAAAAAATCTTTTCGATAATCTCTGGTTTGATTATCCTCTTCTACAGTTCTTTTCTTCTCGACTTGTGAATGTGTGTACAATGCGCAAATGTGCGGCTAGAAGTGAAGGCTGGAATTTGAAGCAGCAGTTTTCTTGGGTGGTGGGGTGGGGACGGACACGTGGGGAGGAGGTGGGTTGAAAAGGACTGGATATTTCTTAAACTTCGTGGATATTTCTTAAACTTGCAATTTAATGGATTTTGTTAAGTGGAAACTGTGTTTTATCTATCTTTTGGGAAGCTCCGTGGGTTCTTCCTATTGGTGGGTTTGGATTTCCAAATTTAGTAAGGCTAGTGAGAGCAGGAAGAGAGGATGGATGGAGCTGAGAGATGGAAATAAAATCTTCTATTTTCACCTTTTCTTCCAAATGGGGTCATGTATGCAGCCTTTGTTCCAACTGCAAGTGAGCCTCACACACATGTATCCTACAGTGATTCTCTCTCTCATAAACTATCCCAAAAGAAGAAACTTGCAATTGACCATCAAAGAATAGATGGGTAATGTCTGCAATAAGTTCAGGACACAGGACTTTAAATGTGTCAGGATCTCCTTAACTTGCCGCTTGTCATATGTTTTAAGAATCAGGCCCCACCATGGGATGAGCCTAAAATGTATACGCATAAGAAGTTTTTTTTTTATCACTAATAGATTCATTAAATTCATTGAAACAACAAAATAATAGTTACAATAAGAAATACAAACACTCTTATCTTCCAAATATAAATTAAGTCCTCAAGAAAAGAAGAGAAAAGGAAAAGAAGGAACAGTTAAATTACAACTTGGCCCAAAACATTGATTCCTTTTTTATCTCTTGTTTAGCTAATCCATCAGCTACAAAATTAGCTGATCTTTTAACTCAATTCATCCTGACTTCTATCTTTTGGACCAGCCACTTGAATTTCCTCTTCTCATTGTTGTAATTCCATAAACCACTGTTGTCTTTAATCAGCCACCTTATCACCACCTCTGAGTCCTTTTCAATTATGAGTTTTCTGATATTCATCTCTTTAGCTTTTTGGACTCCTTCCATAATTGCCAAGATCTCATCTCTAAGGGAGTTACCCACTCCAATTGGACTTGAGAACAGGGTAGAATTAATCATGTTCTCATCCCTAAAAACACCCCCAATCCCTGATTGTCTAGGATTCCCCTTACAACTCCCATCAAAGTATAATTTTAAGAAACCAGCAAGTGGGGGGACCAAGACACCCTCATTACTGATTTGGTCTATGTGCAGTTTGCAATCTCACCCCACTTCCTCAACATGTCATCCATTGTATAGTCTGTAAATAGCTCTAAAGATTTCAACCACTATACAGCCCTTATATGGATCATAGCCCTCAATTCTTCAGCCCCTCTCTCAACTTCTAAGAAGATCCTGAAATTTCTTTCTTCCCATAATAACCAACATATTTCAGCCCTCTGTCCTCTCCACATAGTCTTTCCCCTTTTCATGCGCCACCTAAAAAAAGAAAGGGAGAAGAAACTTTACAAATCTAATGGAGGGCTCCACCTACGCCCAAAGAGAAAAAAAGCCCACTCCCAAATTGACTTTGCAAATTGGCAAGACACCAATAAGTGAAAACTAGTCTCCCCATCTGCTTTGCAAAGAACACATCAATGAGGTGACAAGCAAGTATTGGGTCTCTTCTTTTGGAGCAAATCACCAGTATTGAATATTTCCAGATAGGTTTCCCAACAAAAACTGCCAACCCTAGGAGGAATTGGTCTGCACCAAACCTCATTAATCGAGAAAGGGGAGGTCGCAAGACTGGTGGACTGGCATAAGACTTTGAAGAAGGAAGCACAAGAAAAAGAGCCCATGGGGGTAGGGGTCCAAATTCTAGAGTCCACCTTAGAGGGGTCTAAGAAAACATTTTCAAGAAGTTCAAGTAGGCTCAAAATACTGTCGATGTCTGAGTCCCTCATAGCCCTCCTCAGACCTAGGTTCCACCCAAACACAGAGCTAGAAGAGAAAGGGGTGATAAAAGAAGAAATTGGCTCATTTTTAAAATTAGAGAAAGCATACAAAGAAGGAAATTAGTCCTTAAGAGTTACATTCCCCACCCAAGTTTATTTCCAGAATTTTATGGAGTTACCTGAATTCAAATCATACCTGACAAGAGGGAAAAAAAACTAGTAGCAGATCATGAATGGCTTTCCAACGTGAGGTGCTTGTGGTCTTAGCTTTGATTCTAGCTACAGGTTAGGTAAGGCTTGGATGGGAGTGGTCTCTTTGAAAGACAAAGAGAGGTCGATGAGTAGGGAAATTGGGTTTTTAGGCTAAGGATGCTAGGGTAGGGAGTTGAAGCCAAAGAGTGCTTGGGTGCTAGATGCTGAATGTTGAGTATCAAATGAATTTCAATACAAGAAGGATCTCTATTTATGGGAGAGATCCCGAGATCCTAAAAGGTAGGAGATAAAGGTACTTGTAACATATCGGGAAAGGGAATATTGGATTTTCTATCAATCATTAAGTGCGCCACTAGGGTTTTACCATGTGTTTCATGAGGCTTTCCCGAGGATTGGCATTTAATGACATCACAACTTGGTGGGCGGTGTCTTGTTAACCCTATGTGGCATCTTGCCATGTCTTTTGATGGTATATGTTCTACGTGGCTCTGGGCACGTGTGGGCCTAGCCATGGGCTCGGCCTAGTCTTCTCTTGGTTTGGGTCACGAGTGGGCTCATAAGCCGTGAGTTCATCGTGCGTTTAGCGAACCATCAATTTATCGCACGTTCGAACAGGCGGGGGGCCTTGTCCTGGGTTCGATCGTGGTTTCCTTTGGTTCGGGCATCGAGTGGGCTCGGTGAACCACGGGTTTATCGCAATTTTGTAGTACGCATTGTGAGTTCATCACAAAGCTTATGGTGCGTTACGAGTTCACTACAGCAAGAAGGTTGTYTGCGGGTTGCTCGCATGCAACCTTGTGGTGTTAGTTTCAGTATTTGGTGTTCTCTGAGGGTCTGAGAAAACACTATATACCTACACCAGCATCCCATCCATTTTTCTCCATCCCATGTATGCTTACCACTATTCTAGCCCATAGCTTTTCCTGCTCCAAAGGAAACCTCCACAACCACTTCCCCAAAAGGGCCATATTGTTTTTTCTAATGTTCCTAAGCCCCAGACCACCATAGATTTTACTCCTAGTCACCACCTTCCAGCTAACTCTATGGTCCCTCTTCTCCTCTCCAAGCTCCCAAAAGAAATCTCTCATCAACCTCTCCAATCTAATAGAAACCTTCACTGGAATTTTGAACACTGATAAGAAATAAATGGATAAGTTTGCTAACATGGCCTTGATCAGTGTAGTCCTCCCACCAAGAGAAAGGTAATTCTTTTTCCAAGACATAAGTCTTTTTTCAAATCTTTCCACCACTGGGTTCCGGAAACTCTCTCTCTTAGGATTGTCACCTAAGGGTAACCCTAGATAACTCAATGACCATCCTGAAACTTCACACCCAAGCACTTCTGCACTCTCCCTAATCTTTCCCTCCTCCATATTCACACCCACTACATAACTTTTCCCAAAGTTCACCTTTAAGTTTGACATTTGCTCAAAGAGCTGAATCACTAGTTGCAAGTTCCTGATAAAATTCACATTACCTCCTTCACAAAACAAGATCGTATCATCAACAAATTGTAAGTAAGTGAGTGGGATGTCCTCCCTTCCAACCCTCCTACCTCTAATGAGGCCCCTAGAGTCTACTCTATGAATCAGTTTCCCTAGGATATCAGCAACTAGTAAGAACAAGAAAGGAGATAAGGGGTCTCCCTGTCTTATACCCCTAATGGCTGGAAAGAAATCTATCACTGTTCCATTCACTAGCATTGAATAATGACAATTCCGAACACAACCCATGATCCATTTGCACCATCTAGCCCCAAACCCCAATTTGGTTATAACTTTCCTAAAAAATTCTCAATCCAACAAGTCATAAGCCTTCTCCAGATCCAACTTACAAACCACTCCCTTCCTTTTATCCTTCTTAAAATTCTCCACACTCTCCTTAGCAATGAGAATTTGATCAGTAATCTGTCTTCCACTCACAAAGGCACCTTGATTTTGTTCAATGATGTTTGGCAGTACCTCCTTTAGTTTCAAAGATAACACCTTTGCAATGATCTTGTACAGGTTACTTACCAAACTGATTGGTCTAAAGTCCCTTGGGTGTAAAGCTTCTTTCTTTTTCGGAATCATAGCTATAAAAGTGGAGTTCACCCCCGGATTAACAATTCCTTTCCTATGAAACTCCTCAAAAACCAACAGAAGGTCATCTTTCAAAATATCCCAATAGTCTTGATAAAAAACCATGTTGAACCCATCCGGCCCTGGAACTTTTATCTTGTCCATAAAAAACATAGCCTCCTTAATCTCTTCCTAGTCAAACTTTCTTTCCAATCTTCTCCTGTTATCCCCCTACATCTAGCAAGTTCAATCCTTCACTCCTCTCTTCCTTGCATATCACTATGGGCCAATAATTCGAGGTCACCCTAGGTAGAGCTCTAGATGCCAAGTTCCCCCAATGTTCTTTCCAGTCCAAAGAGAACAAGAACCTATCTAGCCTAGAACATATGAGCCTAGATTGGAGATTTGACCAAGTAAATGTTTTCTGGGCTAGAGGTATCTCCTTAAGCTCAAAGGCATCCACAAACATGTTAAACTTCCTCATGCTAGTTGTCACCCTCTAATTAGTCTTATTGGTTTCCTCTAAGTATCTGATTACATTGAAATCCCCACCCACACACTAAAGCCCATCCCACAGTCCTCTTACATCAGCAAATTCCTCCCACAATTCCTTTCTCTTTATAGTCATTTGGTCTATAGACATTTTGTAAGCACCCACACATATCCATCCTCCTACTGTTTGAACTTCATGGAAATTGAGTATTTTCCAATCAGTTCCTCCAAGCTTTCAACAATGTCCTTCTTCCACATTGTCAATACCCCCCCTGAAGCATCCCATGAGGGAGTAGCCACCCAACTAATCCCCCTACCTTTCCATACACTCCTTGCCCACCTATTATTAAACTCTATTCT